ATCTTGTCGCTCTATAGTGTCGTGTGCTGGCAAATCAGCAAGGAATTCGATTGAATATACAGTAATAGTTGCTGTAAAAGCTTACCAACAATGACGGAGAATTTTCGTCGCATATGGAACATCTGTCATAACAAAGTAAATGTGTGAGAAAACATGACGGTACAGGCGGTTCTCACCATATCCTAAAACTTTGATCATTTCCACTACTCGCGATGTACTAACGATTTTTGTTGTTGCACAATTATCATCAACTGCGTTCTCATTTTGAAACTCGACATAATCATCCAATACAACGAAACTCTCTCTAAAGCACATAGCCACGCGCACGTAGGTACTGGTGCATTGAAAAGCCGGCAATTTGGAATTGGACGTGGGTATACGCGCGGAGCCGCTGTCCCGGTTTGTCCGGAACTCGATGCTTACATACACACATCACACCTGACCGTGTTTCCAAAGACGAAGTGGTGCCCGGCTGATTATTATTGCACACGTTAACGGTCGGTTTTTAACAACGTCCCTTGAAAGAGGAGATTAGTCGCATGTAACAAGCCTATGGAGAGCCTTTTATAACTGAATAAAATCGTTGCACGGCTGTAATGATCGCGCACTCGAGAGAGACAGTGGATTTACGCGTGAGTTATCGGCGACAGCCTGTGAAGATTGCCTTCTATTGATAAGATTAGAAAAGTCATTACTGAAATTAGGACTGCGATTTGTTTGCTTGTAGCTGCGATTTGTCGCGCGCACGCCATCCCGATATGGATCTCGTTTGGATAAAAGCATGCTTCATTTTACAGTTTCATCGAGAGTTTATTATAGTCGCATAAAATTTACAGAATATCGACAGAGTGCGACAGCGATTTAATAGAAAGCAAATAATTTTGTTATTTAAAGTCTATTAAAATACACCGAGGCCATAGGTGCTGCTGCAGCAGCCTCCAAAACGAATCGGCTAGCACTGACCACTAGCAGATAATAACATAATTCGACTTGATAATTATTCAGGCATCCGAATTAATGCCAGAGCGCAGAGTGACGTGAAAAAAGTGTTTTAAAATCGCTTTATTTACCTCCGCCCGCGGCTTAATGATGACGTGATCGCGCTTTCGCTCGCTAAAAACTTCTTTTGTGTTTTTTCTTCGCCGCATGTATGATGGCGAATAATTACTAGGCTTTTGCCACGTTTGCTAGCAGTGGCCTAGCGGTACTATCAGGGCTATTACATTGATAGATTACAAAAATTGTTGTGGCCATGTTTTTCGCATGTTTTTTTCCCTGCTAAGCGCACGTGTAGGATTATCCTCCAACACTTTTAATGGATGCTTTTCGTGAGCGCAAGGTGAAAAAGAAATTTTAATAAAACATATATAAGGAAACGTAAATCAGATAACTATTGTATCTAAGATTAATGTTTGCTACGTGTATCTACTCATTAAATATATTTTAAATGCTCTGTACTCCAACGAGGAACAATTTATTTGCTGTTAAAGTGTTGTTTTACGGTCGCTACTCCGAGTTAATTGAGTGATGCCGATAAGGGTGTTCGTTAGCCGAAATTTTGTTGGCAAAAAATATAATGTCTCTTGTGTCTTGGTAAACAGAATGCGACGTTCTGTAAACATCAGCCGGAAGGAAAGGACAAAGTCCAACCGTCGAATTTGCCACGAAAATGACGTAGAAGGACGAGACGATCATTAAATCGATGTGCCGTTTCGCTCTCGGCAAAAGGTTAATTATTATAGCTTAGTGAGCGAAATTATCGGCGACGTTCGAACGTCAGCTCTTACGCGAGTGAACTCCTGGAAGAAGTAGTTTCACGTATATAGCTGCCGTGCAAAAAAGGTGAACTAGCCAAGATTAACTTCGCTGCTGTGGGAATGCCAACTTGACCTAGGTTACACTGGCGCACAGGTACCACATCGCGCGTGACAGCGTCAAGGAGAAAAGTTGGACACTTCAGATCATAACTTTCAAATTAATTTAATCCAAATGTTTATTTAAGTATTTTTTAACTTTTCCAAATATTATGCTTCAACTTCCTTTTTTCCTCTCAAAAAAAGGAAGTATTCCTTTGAGGTGGACGCGACATCGACGGAGTCGCGCAGCGTTCGCGAGATTAAGTTTGTATCTTGTGTAATTAACCTCGACGCTTGCGATCTCCACGAATGAGCTCTTTGCACATAAATTCAACTTGAGCGACCAGCGAAGAGCTGACTTTGATAAAATTTCTTGGGTGCAGGTTCTTCATGAATATTTAAAAATGTTAACGTTACATTACTGAATCACGTACAAAAACTCGAGGAAATAATTACTCGACGAAAACTACGTCTATTTGATATTATCTGAATTATTCCACCAGTCGACTCATATATAATTTAACATAATAGTGACTGTCAATATATATAAATCGAATATACAAGCTAATGATCTGCAAAAAAAATCATATCACTTTTGAAACATTTCGAAAAGCTAAATGAAAAAAAGTATATTAATACATCAACGTCTCGATAAAGAAATGATAATCCCAAGCAGGATACACGCACATACACACATCTCCTTCTCTACCCCTCACAGTCTATTGCAACCGGTGATGTATTACTCCGTCTTCAGCTTCTTTCTTTCTTTTTTTCATTTTTCTCACGGTTGCCAAGCCAATTTTTAGCTTGCAGGCGCACAGGTCACGACGACGACGAGGCAACCGCAACGTCAGCAAATTTGTAGTTCAGCAAATTGGCAGCTTCCGCTAAATAAATCCTCTCTCCCTCGCACTTTTTTAAAAAACCAGAAATCTAATGAGGCGCGTGACTATTGCTGCGTGAAAGAGAGAGAAAATAATTAGGCGATCGCTATAGAATTTCATTTCTTCTACCAACGTTATTTATGAGATATCTTCTTTCTTTTATTCCCATACCTTTTGAATTATCGTTTTCATAATTTGATAACGAAAATTACGTTCGTCCAGGCTACTGTAATAACATCATTAGCCATCGCTTCATCCAAATAATCATATCTCTTTTTATCGCTCTCTCTCTCTCTCTCTCTCTTTCTCTCTATCGATCGATGATTAAAGCGCGCGCTAGCAGACACACATTTCCAATTGCAATTTACACGATTCGACATTAACAAGAAGCTGCCATATCTTACGGTCCCAATGAATCCTGTATACCTGGCGTAATCTATATCGAAGATACATACTTGACCGCGTGATTAATTATCACAGACGGTCAACGAATAACCAGTATTGCCAGTCCGAAAATACTTCGCGGATCCCATAAATCCCATCCTTTTCGCACGATCGCACGCCCTGACTATAGTTTAATTAAACCAGACGTAGTACGGCTACAGGTAGAATCTAATCAATCGACGTAGATTTTTTTTGTTTTCAGCTATCTACCAGGCGATTAGCTTCTCGAAGCCTGCTCTTTGGCAAGGAGTCGCTAATACGCATAAATTTTCAGCGAGTTATACAGATACTTCTTCGCGCGTGTGCGAAGATAAGCTATGGATCTTTATAAAATGGCTAATCGATTTTATACACACACTCACACCATTTCTCTAACCCCTATTGTTAGATGCCTGATGGATCGCAATTGAAACAATTTAAAATTCGTTTCTCACTTAAAGAATTACGAATGAGTCAGATTAATTCGCGAGTAAGAATAGCGTATTTATTAAGTTTCGTTTTTGTTATAAGTACAACACATCAATTTACTCTGCGATGTAACTAGTAAAATGTCAGTTGTTACAATTGAAATTGTCTGATCCAGTTTAACATCCCAACCGTGTGCAATTTTAATACCGTCACGCTGCCGACGCAAGCGATTAATCCGCGTATTTCATTATATTTTCAAAAATAAAGCTGCTTTTAGAAAATAAAAAATCAATCGATATTACCACCGACGAAGACTAATTTTTAAATGAAAAAACGTATACAGGCAGCAAGCACCCATGGACATCGATAAAAATCAGGAGAGAGTTTTAAGAGACCGCGTAGGATACACCGCTTCAATGGCCAAGAAAAAAGATAAAGAGGATTCCGTTGAAAAAGAAAGGGAATACATTTCTTTATTCATTTCCAACAGCCTATCTCAATCCGAAGATCGCGATTCGAATCAGCGTGGCGCTACCCTTCTCTAATCCCTTGCCTTTTATATCCCACAACAACGCTACAACATTGGTCCAACGCCTCCTCTCATTTCATTCTGGTTGCTGTGGCGATGCCAACTTTCGCGAAAATCCCGATACAACGACGGTCTTTCGGTTCCCGTTATTTTTTTTCCCTCACTTTCTTCTGTGTATAAATATGTATCCATATTCTTAAACGAGTATAGCTATACCAGCGTTTGTACTCAAATCAATATTTTCTCGAGTTTAAACTCGTTTGCAAGTTGATAAGCACATCTCGTAAACGTTGACGTGACTCAACCCCGTAAGCTAAGGACATTAAATAATCCGTAAATAATGAGAAACGATAGCTTCTGATGAATCTCAACTTTGTAAGTACGTCATTGCAATAAGTAGAGTTTATAATAACCATTATGATTCTCGAGGATAAAAAACCGTTCGATCCTTTGACAAAAAAAGATACTCGCTTCATTATTTTCTCATTTGCCTTGCAAAAATTACCGTCTGGAATAATCGTTCATCGACTCAAACTAAATCATTAATATCAATTCGATGTGCTCCTGACGAAATTACTAATCAAACAGAGCCCATTGTAAACTAGGTAGCGTTCATTGAAGACACAGAAAATATCTGATCCGATAAAGCCCTCAACAACAAATTTGAAAAACTCGTCATGTCCAAAGCACAGTTCCTCATGACTTTGCCTTCGAGTCGACAGCACAGTCCAACCGATTCACGTTCTCTCTATGATTCTTGGAGAAAGAGAGACAAACACACCGATCGGCATACCAAACGAATTGGTAGCCCCATATTTCTAGAGAGCATATATATACAATGAAAGTAAGGAGAAAGAACTAGTATAGTGCATAACTCACTTGGCTTATCCAGATCGGCTATCTCGGTTGGCAGGTTAAATGCAGTAGCCGATTCAAGCAAGAGTAGCATCAGGAAAACGGCGGCATCGCACCAGACGCACAACAGCAGCAGCAACCGCCGCATTTTCGCATCCCTTGAATTTGTTCTCTTCTCTATCCCGAATCACAGATACTATAACGATGGCAAAGCACAGTAACTATCTCCCGTACCGTATGCCTGCCCTTCTCACTCACCTCCGCATGGCGATAAATCCAATTGCTGCTGTCTGCTTTTTCCTTTTCTCTCCTTTATTATCTCTTACCCTATGCAAATTATGTGCGACTGTTTACCTTTTCAATATATTCCAATCGAATTTTTGGTTTTTTTATCAAGCCGTCACCGTTGGTTCGATTTAATCACTCTGATCGCACTTGCATCCAACATTTTTCTCTCTCTCCCCCAAAACAATAACCACAATAACAAAAAGCAATTTTTTGTTTTCCGGAACACTAGACACAAATACAGTAGTTGTTCCTCATCACTCACGCGCGTGATATTTCAAATATAATAGATTCGCGCGTGCGTCGAGTCACCTAGACCCGAGGCGGCTCGGCACTGACTGCAGGCGCAAGTCGCGTGCGCTGCTGCCAAACAATTCAGAGAGAGAGAGAGAGAGAGAGAGATCGCGCGCGAGAGAGAGAGAGAGTGGGAAACGAGGCCGGCGCTTGAGACACGTTCGGCCAACTCCGCCTCGCTTCGGACAACATCGACAATATCGTGCGCACACTCCGGCTAGTAGCGGTGAGCGCGAACCCCAAAATGCTCACGCGTGCAACTCGCTACGCCATGGCGAGCCGGCCCAAGCTTACTGTTTGATTTATCACGACAGCTAATGACTCGCCGTCGTCTATAATCGCCGTCCTGCAGTGTGCTAGCAGCTTCTCTCTCCAGTGATGATCTTGTAAAAACTTTCATTTGCCCGAGGTACCGCCTGCGACCGGTTTCATCGTAGTACTATTATGCGTGCCGTTAGATCGGCTTTTTTCACAACTTAGGTAAAATAAGTGGCCAAAATTTATGCAATATATTGTAAAATAAAAACAAGAAACGTGTTATACAGCTTGTTTAAAATAGCCGTGGTGGCTTAGTGGTTAGAGCACAGAATTCACATGGCGAATAAATAACTTTGGTGATTAAGAATTAACCTTAAATTGTTGTCCAGTAATCACTGATTGTACCTTCTTCGACTATGTATATAAGGTTCACATCAATTAACGAAACGTCGAAAAATTAACGAGTCCGATGCTTCTCAACAGTTCGATACTGAGGTACGACAAGTAATTTGTTGCTGGGATGTAGATGAGTAAGGGGTAGAAATAGTAGGATTGTTCATTTAAAAATTTAGTTTTCAGTGCTCATTGTATGTTTAATTGATTCAACTAATTTAATTAGAACTGTTTTAAACATAACTCTCGCAAAAGATGTACCTAATATCGTGGGCAGAAATTATGCAATAGGATACCTCCATCAATAATATTTCAGAATTATTAAATTTGTTAAGCAAAATAAAATCACTTAATTTAACAGAAAAAAGATTAGTATTTATCGAATCAAAAAGGTTACAAAGTTCAAGTATAGAGCAGCTCGAGGGTAAAAGCCGTTAATCCTCCGAGCACTAGAGCTGAACTAAACTGCATTCACAGATGGTTGCACAGCTAGATACATACTTTCGCTCGAAAATGGACGCAAGACACTTTATTGCCCATCTGGAGACGTCATGTCATCAACGCGCTTCGGGCGGTCAGTAAGGAAAAGATTTTATGGCGCGGCTTAGGCTTTCTTTTAGTCAAAGATTCAAAATACTCGAACAGCACTTTGTGCTCGCTTGCGCATATATAAACAAAAATTCTAGATATATCATAATTTTCCATTCTATAATAAAACGTGTCAGAAGCTCATGTATATGTGAGCAAAAATGTCACCAACAGAAATAAACATCACGTTGCAACACATTAGATTGGCCATTAAGCATACGCAGAAAATTTACGTATAAAAATTACAGGGATGGTGAGAGTAAAAAATTACGGTAATGCACTAGAGACGACAACGATTAAGGTATGTCAGGACAATTTTTACGGAGACAGTCTCGTAACAATTCATTTTCGTTATCGTAAAATTTCCATGTAACTGTTTTTTCACATGTACAAATAATTTTTCAACAAACTCATTGTCATAAGTTTTGTTAAATAAAATTATTTTCTTTATTAATTATACTAATGATTCGTATCAAATGATTTAACTACAAAGAAAAATTTATTGGCCGACAAATTATCCAAAGAAATAAATTTTGAAGATTAGCATTAATAAGTTCATCACTCGCTGAAGATAGTGCTAATTTTGAAATCACTTTGTAGAATACCTTATAAAAATTTTTAAATTATGATATATAATTTATAGGTATTAAAAACATGAATATATTCATATTTTATTCATTTTGATTAATGAGCACTATAAAAGTGTATGAAAATTCAAAAACAATAAATAAAAGAATGTGAATATCAAGTAATGCAAGAGGTTACATTTCCATGCGATCGACCGCATCATGCAATTTTATTACGCTAACATCAAAAGATTGTCTAATATTTTAAAAATATTCTTGCACACTTTCGTAAAACTATTTTCCGTTAGGAAAGCTACAATAAAATTGCAAAACTGCTGGCGAGACAGACATACAAACTGAATTTAGTTGTAGTGATCGATCAAGTGACTCTTGGCAGCGAAAGATGATGGTAAAAAGTGCACGATAGTCACCGACAAATAAAATTTATGCTTGTGATGTAATAAAACTTATAACGAATCTTCAAAATTGTTATGAGGTTTTTTTTGAAAATTTTCAATGCTTTAAAATTTACGGACTCGTCATATTTAAATTCACATAAGTTTCTTCATAAAAATTATCTGTACAGCCGCGATGTCGCTGTATTACTAAACTGTCGGTGTAATTTATCTGATAATGTTTTTCTGCATACATATATACAGATATAATAATTTTCAAAAAAACAATTAGATTTCGCTAAGAGAGTTAGAAAAATAAATTTGACGTTGGTTCAGGCAGAAGAAAGCTCGTGTAAAGATTTCTCTTCCCGGAAATTCTCAGGACTATAGTAATCGCCAAGCGAACAGTCGTGGAAAAAAGTATAATTGAAATGTCTCATTTATCTACATCAATCAAAGCTGACACAACAGTACACGCGAGTGAGCGAGAGAACTCGTTACACAATCTTTTGTAATAAGTTACTCTGCAGAACTATATGCTATTCTTGCAATTTGCCCAGAAGACGTTTGAAATCGAAAACAAACATAATACGCACAATGATGCGAATAACTCTCCTCTAGCCAATCCATTGCTCCCTCTCCCTCTCTCTCTCTCTCTCTCCCTCTCGCCCCTCTCTCCCTCTCGCCCCTCTCTCTCTCCCTTTCTCTCTCTCTCATTTGCTCTCCCTCCCTCATTGCAATTAGTCGATTCGTCTTTAGTCCCTTTCTTTTTGCCATTTGCCACAAAATTAGTAATCTCGCGGTGTTAGCTTCGATCTCTAATACATCGGAGATTAGGATTTGATCAATTATAAGTTTCTTACTCAGCTCGAAGGGAGGTTAGAGAATTGATGTGCCGAGGGTTAAAAGGAAGGCGCGATCGATGTTAGGCAGCACACGCGCGAGTACGAGGAGAGAGAGAGAGAATCGTTTGGCACTCGATGCACGTCGGCACAGATAACGGAGCGCACCAGCAGCAGCAGTGCTGCAGCCGCATCGAGATGAATTTCGGCTTAATCCGTTATCGGCGCGTGCCAAATCGCAAAGTCAGAAACCCTCTTATCTCTTTAGCCATGCCAACTACGGGCGAAAAAAAATAACAACTATATATGCATGGTTGAATCAATTTATAAGATGAGAACAGTCGATTGCTCTTCTTGCAAATTTATAAGATGTATGTAATTAATTTGTCAAATTGTACAGAGCGAATGTACCTCAGTTAGTTTTCAGCACTTATTACGTTCAATTAGACTTGGTGTATTCACATATACATACCGCGAGGCTACAATTATTCACACGTTATATATGTGTATACACCGCGAGTAAACGCGCACCTCTCTCGCTCCCTCTCGCGCGCGCGAACACGGGCTGTGTAAGCGATCCTGCAATCTTTGTTTTAGTCCAATTAGCTGTACGTTTACCGATGCTACTGCTTTCCCGTAACGAAACTGTTTATGGGATAATTCTTTCCTTCGATAAATACACATATGTACGAATACAATGCCAGCACGATACGGCTACATGTAAACTTGCCAGATATGCATCGCGATATTGAGAATAAATACATCAAGATATATTGGTTGTTTGCTCTCAATTTCATGAATAGAAAAAGAATAATGAGTTATTTTACGACGAGTATTCTCAGATGATTAATAAAGGAAAGGAGAAAAGAAAAATTTTTAATCTTTAGGAAGCTTGATGGATTGAAGTTTAGTGAGAAGAAACAATTCAGTACTCTATTTTTTGGTTTCTTCGTTGAAACAATGTCCAATTCGAATTTCAAAGCTATGAAATAGTATTACAACTCTATTTTATATTTTCTTTCCTGGCACCGTTAGTGAAGTCGAATATTGGTTTTTGATTTACTGTGATTATAATCCGATATCGATCGCAGATGTTTCAACGAGTTCAATACGACATTTTTCAGTTGGCTACTTTCATAAAACTTCTCGCGATTTGCCATACAGTGCAATGAAAGCTTCTTTAAAAAATCTATTTTCTTGGAAATAATTTAATGAAGCTCGGCAAGTTCCGAACTGATACCCAATTATGTAAAGATACAGAAAATGGAAATCGTATCATTAAATTATTGCATTTTGCATATGAAACAAATAAAGTGAATTTAAAAAAGGCCATCAGCACTTGGACATTTATGTTTATCAAATGATACGAATAAAGATCTCCGACTGAGTCGAATAATATAAAACTAGGGCGATCGTGATAATTACGGCGTGGTGAGTGATATACGTGATTCGTAATCCAACACCTCGATCAGAAAAACGGAAGGCGCAAAGACCTGGGTTATAAAGCTCTCGCAATAGGCTTTTTGGATCTGAGCGTTGCATATACTGCAAACGTATATGAGCCACGCGAAGCCCCGGTGCCGATCTATTGGATTTTCTCGTGCTTTCTCACCGAGGAACAAATGTGGCCGCTTTTAATGCTTGAAAGCTCTTTTTATTCTCCGACCGCGCGCAGCGGTGGCATTACCATCGGAAGAGCTGCTGCACTTCAACCTCGGGAATATCTCGAGAGCTCCACGAGGATTTTCCCTTTGAGCGCAGAGGCAAAGCTCGAGTGCCCCTATAGTAAATTAGCTATTTTCGGAAGACCCGCAATGGCTTTCGCTTTCTCGAGCCGTGTTGTAAACGTTTCTCTCTTCTTTCTCTCTCTTTCTCTCTCTCTCTTTCTCTCTCTCTCTCTCCCTCTCTCTCTCTCTCTCATATGCATGGATTTTTCGGGTTAACCACGAATTATCAGGAGAACAGAAAATTTGATTTTTTC